GACCGAAAATTTCACCACAGACGTCTTGATGGCACTTATTCTCTACGACTAGGTAAGCCGATTACAATTTCATTTCGAGCTTTTTTTTAAACATATAATTTAATACAAGTGTCGAAACCAACAGTGAAAATAATTATAACAACCTCCCAAGACTAGTAATACATAGTCATGAACTCTAACTGAATACATGCAATGATCTCAAGGATCGAATATACAATATTGTTCGAATAAGAGTTCATAGTACAATATAATGGAAAGACTCCAAGGGACTGCAATGACCAAGCAGTCCTACCTTGAATCCTTGCGATCACACTCTAATCTCTATCCAAATCCGATATATCCAATACCTAGCTCTGCACAAAAATATGCAGAAGTGTAGTATGAGTACACAGTCAGTACCCAGTAAGTATCAAGACTATCCCTGATGGACTAGTGACGAGGTACAGTCAAGACACTCACTAGTCAAATAACGTGTGCAATATAGCATACAAAAATAATAGAAAATAAATAACAGTGATGGCAACAATAATCAACTTGTGACATAAACAGAAAGGCAACAAGAAAATCATAAATATTGCTCAAACGAATAATAAACACAAGTACAGCTAATTAATCAAGTCCTTCAAAATATACATCTTTTATCTATAAGTTTTTCAAATAAAAATCTTTAGAATGTAATCCGTACAATTAAATATATCCCAAATATGCTTNAGATCAAATCAATTGGCACGGCAACACCCTTCGTACATTTATTTCTTTCTCACCGAGCATACATATAACAGTACCAACTAGGTGGAAGAATGCCAATAACAATAAAAGAAATAAAGTGTGAGGCACACAGGAAGCAACAACGACTACAAGTCACATAGAAAATACAGGTGCACAATAACAGCTCAAGATAAAGGCATGAATGTATACACAATGAAAATATATCACAATATAATGTATGTCTTTTGTCCTCGCCTGCACGAAAACACCCTTCGTGCCATGAACATATGATAATATAAAAAATAATGGCACGGCATTACCCTTCGTGCTTTTACTCTCATCCTCTCATGATAATGTATATGCAATAGCACGGCATTATCCTTCGTGCATATTAATGTATATGAATGGCACGGCATCATCCTTCGTGCTTTATACCTTTCCTCACATGACTATATAACTGAAATGGCACGGTATCACCCTTCGTACTTTACACTCTCCCTCACATGATAATGTATATAAAATGGCACGATATCACCCTTCGTGCTTTACAGTCTTCCTTACCAAGCACATGTATATCATTAACAAACAAGGTAAGAAGCATAAATAACATCAAGGAGAATGTTTAAACGACAGCACAATACAACAATTCATATCACAATGTTCCCACAGGCCACAACCAACTCCAAAGATACAACAAAATCAATTAATTTAATAGAAAATAGCCCAAGGCTCCACAAAACATATATAAAACCTCAAGAAATTTTTGATAAATACAACAACAACAACAACCCAAGTATAATCCCACTAGTGGGGTCTGGAGGGGAGGGGGGTTGTGTGTACGCAGACCTTACCCCTACCATGAAGTAGAGAGGCTGTTTCCAATAGACCCTCGGCATCCTTCTCTCCAAGAACTCCCCACCTTGCTCTTGGGGTGACTCGAACTCACAACCTCTTGGTTGGAAGTTGAGGTTGCTTACCATCAGAGCAACCCCTCTTGTCATTTTATGCCAATTTGTTTTATAAATGTATATATTAATGCCTCATAATAAACTTATTTAATAATTATTTACAGATAAGGAATCCATAATAAAATTATTTCCAAGAAATGTCAACCCAACTAACCACGGTATTTCACATAAAAATCAAAGTGACAATCATACCAAATTATCATATAAAAATAACCTCGACAAACAAGGAATGAGGGATGACAAATAAAGGATTTAATAAGTGCCAACCATTTCCACTTTAATACATAAAGGCGTCTACAAATTTTAACCGATATAATTTGCACATATAAGCCAAGTACGTACTCGTCACCTCGCGTACTTGGTTTTCAATTACACAATTTTCACATAAGACTCAATGCCTAAGGGGTAATTTCTCCCACTCAAGGTTAGGCAAGATACTTACCTTTTTAAAGTTAGGCCAATATTCCAAAATAGTTTTCTTGCTTGAATTGACCTACGGACAACTTAAATCTATCCAAATTAATTGTGTAACTTCATTAAAATTCATCGGAAAAAATTTCGGATAATGAAACGTCGACTTAAAAATTCACATTAAAAAGTCAACCAAAAGTCAACATGGGGCCTCTCGGAACCTGCCAGGATTTTCATGAAATTCGAACACCCATTCCGATACGAGTTCAAGCATATTAATTTTATCAATTTCCGATAACAACTCGACCTCCAAATCTTAAATTTTCGTTCTTGAAGAGTTTTACAATTTTCTCCAATTTCTTCCATTTGATTCACTAATAATTGATGAAAATAACCATGGAATCAAGAAGTATAATCACTTTTGGATATAGAACACTTACCCCAATCCATATGGTGAAAATCGCCTCAAATATCGCTTCAATCCGAGCTCCATAGCTCCAAATATGTTAAAATGGCCGAAACCCCCATTTTAAGAATATGTCCATGCAATTCTCATTTGACATTTGAGACTTATAAATCGCATTTGACACTTGCGATTTGCCTCAGCCCCAGAACAATAACAGTCTTTCCTGATAGAAAAATGGGCATAACTCTCTCATACGATGTCTGAATGATAAATGGTTTAACTTTCTGGAAATTAGACACTATGGGCTACAACTTTTATGTTTTGCTCATCTTCCAATTGCTTATAGATAGCGAGATATAAGCTCCCAAATTCAGCTCGGTGCAGCAGAAATTTCTTCTTCGCGATTTCAAAACTCTTCCCAGATAGTCTGTAGTGTATCAACCATATATTTTAGTATCTAACTCAAACTACCAAATGGGTTAAATTTCTAAAAACTAGATACAAAGGTCTACAACTTTCATTTTTGGATCATTGCCAAATTCCTTATAGATTACGAGATATAAGCTTACAAAGTCAGCCCTGTGCAACAGAAATTACTGCGATGCACACTGCCAGGCAAAACAACTGCAATACTAGGCTTCAGTTAATCGATCATAACTTTCTGTACAAATATCCAAATGATGAATGGTTTACATTTCTGGAAACTAGACTCAAAGGGTACAACTTTTATTTTTGGATCATCTCCAAATTTCTTACAGATTACGAGATATAAGCTTCCAAAGTCAGCCCTGTGCAACTTAAATTTCTGCGATGCACACTGCTGTAGCCAAAAATCAGGAGTTAAAAATGGCCTAGAAATGGTCCGAAACTACTCCGAAACTCATCTGAGCCCCTCGGGACCCCGTACGAACATACCAACAAGTCTCAAAATATATTACAGACTTAGTCGAGGCCTCAAATCACATCAAACAATACCAAAATAACGAATCGCACCTCGAATCAAACTAATGAGTTTATGAAATTTTCCAAATTCTATATCTTATGCCGAAACATATCAAATCAGTACTTCATATTTTGCATACAAGTCATAAATGACATAATGGAGTTGTTCCAATTTCCAGAATTGAATTCCGACCCCGATATGAATAAACTCAACTCCCGGTCATACTTTCCAAAAATCTTCTATTTTTCAACTTTCGCCAAAATGTGCCGAATTGTCCTACGGACTTTCAAATCTAAATTCGGACATTGCGCCTAAGTCCGAAATCACCATACGAAGCTATTGAAATTATCAAAATTCCATTCTGGAGTCGTTTGCTCAAAAGTCAAATCTCCGATCAAACTTTATTAATTCAAGCTTTATAAATGAGAATTATTCTTTCAATTAAATTTTGAATCTTCCGAAAACCAACTCGACCACACACACAGGTCATAACACATATTACGAAGTTGCTCGGGACCTTAAGTCGGTGAACGGAACGTTAATTCGCAAAACGACAAGTCGGGTCGTTACAAGAGGAGCAACACCTAAATGGCCATATGCAAGATGGATTTGGAATAGATTAAATATTCCAAAACACTGCTTTATAGGTTGGTTGATAATGAGACAGAGATTACTTACGAGAGATATATTACATATGGTGGGAATAAGCTAGGAGAGAAACTCTGTGGAATGAAGGATGAACAATCCATCATTTGTACTTTGAGCGTCAATTCTCCGGAATGTGCATTGATGAACTATGCAACTGGTTGGGAATAAAGCTGAAGCAAATAGATATGTAGAGCATTTGGAGGAAAATGGGAAGATGTATTAAAGGGAGAGTATGTCAAGGATTCGTGACCTCAATCATTATAGCAGTAATGTATGGGATATGGAGCAAGGAATGAAGCACTATGAAATCAAAAAGTACCATGTCCAACAAAGATGTGGAAGAGCATAAAAGAGGATAACAAATATAGACTACAACTGATAAAAGCCAACATGAAGAATAGGAAAGAAATAGAGTGGATCAGTCAATTGTATAGATAGGGAAACAACAATGACTTTACAAATAGCGTAGGATCAGCTTCTAAATGGGCAGACCTACCTAGTAGGGATGCTTAAGGAGGAAGATAATAAAGTATAGTTTTGACATATATATAGCTAGGATAGATTATGGATTGAAAATATCATTGTAAGTAACTTTTGTCTGGGGATCAATAAAAAAATTTCTTTCACCTACATTATTTTGATATATTTGACACATGATAGCTATAATTAAACAAATAAAAATATGCTCTTTCTTAAAGTTAAACTTATATACAATAAACCTCTTTATAACATACTTGTTTATTCAGATATTGTTTTGCAGCTACAGTGAAGTGTTGTTATAGAAAATATATATTAACATAACATAAAAAATTTGGTTCCAAAGAAAACATGACCATTATACTAAAGTGCTATTATAGAAGATATAGAGATGTTTAACACAATTCAATAGTGCGAACATTGCTCATAAACCGTAATATATGAGAAAAAAAGAAGATAAAATGATATTATTAGATGATAAAAATATCTTGAATACTTACATACTCAACAAATTAAGGCTGAGATCAAAGTAGCATCAGCTCTTTAAATGGATGGATACAACAATACAACATCATCAGTAAATTAAAAACTACTCTAATATATAAAACATTGGCAAATCTAAGTAGATATTGTCCCTCTTATTTTAAATCTATATATGTGACATAGCTTGCTAATGCTAGCTAGTCTAAGCAAAGCGCGAATGACCCAGGTACACATGGGATGGGAAAATATAAAATTAAAAAAAACGAGAGAAAACCCCTTGGAGTGGAGCCAAGGATGGTCCCTCTCCTACTTTGACCTAGCGGCCAAAGCCCTAATTAATAGTAATTAATAACTGCTGCATCTTAATAGAATTTTTAATCAAGTAGAAGTTGAGCTAATATATAGCTACTTGTTGAAGTTGCTATCATCACATAAGTAAGCTTCTAATAATAGAAGCTTGAGCACTGTCACTTTCAGTTGATTCCAAAAGCTGTGATAATCTATCACTTAGCCCATCCACTTCGCTGTGTAAATTCCTTATATAGTTGCAAGTTTCTTGCAACACTTTTGAAGCTGAAACCTGTTTGATTTAATAAAAGAAAGGCATAAAATATGTTAGAAACTAGCTAAATTTCATGACCCTTTTTCTTACTCTTAACACAAAAGAACTTAAATGTAGGGAAAAAGGTGCATATAAAGGTGACTTCAACCAAGAATCTATATTGAGGTAATTGCAATGTGTCCGAAATTAGAACAGTTTATTCCATTTTGATACTTAAAAAGAATGAACTAAGGATATTATGTAGTTCTCACGCACTAAGGATGTCAGCATTTGTAAAATTCTTTTACGAGGAAGCAACATCTTATTCTTAAAAATATTATAGCTGCCCCATATGTGGTCTACATCTTATTCTTTTCGCAAGAACTTTCCAATCGTAAACCAATTCAGAAGGGGCTCCATATCATCTCGTTGGCAGTAAAAACCCAAAACCCTATATTGGTAATTCAATAGGTCAAGCAAGTCTGCTGGCAAGCCTGTCAGCTATTGGCTTCTTTCTATATCCCTGTTCAAGAAAGTTATTGTTGTATTATTGAACACAGTTCAGGCTCAACTCATTTACTTTATGTGCGAGGCAGCAAACAAGACAACTACATTTTGGCTTGAAATTAATGAGGACTTGTGGGCTAACTAGTGGGCATGAAAATGTCACCCTCAAACTTATCTCTAAAAGGAAAAGAAAGGCCACACAAAATATGGGAAGTTTCTTGGAAATGCGTTTCATATATTATTTGCACCCACACACACATATTTATGGTGAAGTAATAAATTAAAAGAAGACAAGAAAAAAAACAAAACAAGTAGTAAAAAATAAATTTATGTTACGTGCACTGATAATGTAAATAATTTCTCGTAAGTACCTTGTCAGAACGCCTATTACGGATTTCAGGAATAAGTTGTTGTAACTTGGAAACGAGATCGGCGATTTGATCATCACTTATTCTGGAAACTCCTGAAGATTGTCTGGAACGTGATCTTCTGCTTGACATTGTCACTTAACTTGTCAGGGAAACTAAGAAAAGGAAATTATCAAAAAAAGAAAGACAAAAAGCCAGAAAATGGGAGTTGTCAGATAGAATCTTGAAATGAATGTGTAATGAGTTCTGTGGAGTGATGAGGGGGGAATGGAAAATATATAAGGGGGGTTTAATAAGAAGAAGAGATCAAGAATTGAAGATAACTGTGTTAAAGAGACAGGTATGGACAGAGAGATAAGGGAGGTATGAACAAGAAATTAAAAAAAACACTAAGGTAGGAGTGTTGGAAGTGAAGAAGACAAGTGCATGGGATAAAGCAGTG